TTTGTGTTAACAAATCCATTTTTTTAATATAAAATTATAATATATATTTAAAATTATAATATATATATTTAATGATAAAAAATAATTTAAATCGGATTCTCAAACTTTAAAATAATAAATAACAATAAAATTAAGGATAAAAGAGTCAGCGCGGGAATAGGTGCCTTCCCCCCCCCACGCATAAATATTAATTCATATAAAATATTTCAAATTGATGATGTGCAATTTTATTATGAACTCTTGAACGTTTCCATTCTTTTTGGAGTCATCCTCAGCAAATTATATATAATCAGCGATCAATGTTAGTTAGATGATTTATTCATGATCATCTAACCAACATTGATCATTGATTATGTATAACTTGCTGAGGATGACTCTCATTAGCCTTAATTTTATTATTATTTATTAATATATATTCTCTTATTTTCGAGCATAGAAGATTCAGTAAAATCACAAAAAGTCGAAAAATAATTATAAACAAAATTATAAGTAAATTTAAAAAAAAACAAATAACATGTATATGAATTTCAAATTTTGCGCTAGACGCTGATAAACATTTGGATAGCATGATAACTAATAATAGGAGAATGGAAACAATATATTTTCGCAGACTGAGCGCTAAATTGAATACAAAACATTGATTAAGATACTTGAAGAACTTGTCGACAGAATGCCAAAAGTTTAGCTTTTGTTATCAAAATTCAAGGAGATTAAACTTGAAGAATGTAAAAAAAAGAAGAGGAAAATAAATTCTCTTTTTAATTTTAGTAAAAATGTATAATAATAAATTTAAAAAACATAATGTATGCAAACTGTATTCACATTCTGTTTTTTTATATTACAAAATTTCCATAATATAAATAGTATGCTGAAATTTTTGAACGATAGTATATATAATAAATAAGTTTAATATTGTGTTTATCATAGCTATTTATATCTATTTTGCGCTCTCAAAGTTTAATTTACCAGAGTTCTTTGATCTTCTACATACAAAATTTCATCCGATCGTCCTGATAGCATTATTTCCTCAGGCTAGAAAGAACGCTAGTTAACCATTAGAGGATGTAGTATAAGTACTTAAGAGTAGCGTGAGTATTAGTGTAATAAAGTAGTAAGTAATAAAGTGTGGCGGGGTGTGTGTGTTTTTGGGGCAGGATCATCACGTCGGCAGGATTCAACATGGATATAGATCTGCGCACGTTGCGTGCGATACGCGTGTTGCGACCGCTCAAACTTGTCTCCGGCATACCGAGTGAGTAGCGCATTAGTACAAATTGAAAAGCGATCGAAAAAAAAGAATATAATAAATATAATTATTAAATATAAT